ACCTAGCACAGGCTCTCAGTTCTTCAGTTAATGTCGGCTGCTTTCTCCAGACTTTGGTGTTGCCAGGTCCTCATTTAGAATCAAGACCCTTGTCCTAGAACCAGCCACGAACCAGGATGAGAGGTTCTCAGCAGTTTGAGCCATAAACCCCACCTGTGACGAGGTCTGCTTCTGCACACTATGAAACCTAACGGCCTTGCGGGGAACCCCTGAGATGGTGCTCCCATCCTCGAGCAGAGGGGCATGAACTTGGAGCGCTGTCCGTCTCCCCACCGGACAGACGCCAGCGCGGGCCTGGGACGCTGCACCCCGTGCGGCCCTGTACTTTCCTCCGTGGCACAACCCTAAGGCCATGTGCAAGGGCCCACCCACACCCCCTCTCTTTTCTGCCAGTGGAGACATAGTCATACCTTCTAACTTGAAAACACTTTACATCTTTTTAAATTCAAGTTCCGCGAGTGCCTCGGAACCCCCCAAGTTCTTGATACAATCATGTCCTCTGCCTGGGGGTTCGTTCCGTGTCCATCCCATACATCCCGCGCAGCTTACACGGCGAGACCAAGAATGGTGTGTGCGTCTGGTGTGGGAATGAAGAGATGAGCTTCAGGAGAAAACGAGAACTATAGCGTCACCTTCCAAAACAAAGAAACAGTGTGTATGCCCTGGAGTCTACAAAAGATTAAAAAAAAAAAAAAATACTCTGGCCATTCTGACGTAGTTTTAGATGAATTATCTTGTGAATCATGCTTAAAACTCTTCTGCTTATACAAAGAGTGCCAACACTTGGCTTTGTGTTCTGCCAACGAATATAGAAAACCACAGATCAAGACAAAGGAATTAGGCCACCTCCTGAAACCAGGGAAAAAGGTCTTAACAAATCTCAAGAACTCCAAGATCTTTTTATTGATTTCAAATTCCAATAGAATGAATATGTTTTATCTAAATATTTTTATCACATAACTGAAACATTGAATTATTTTTTTCAGAAATAGAGTTAAATACATCAATCTAGTTACAAATTCTAATATAAAGAGTACAAAATATAATGTTATAAATTGTATTTAAAAAAAAAAGAAATACAAATTCTATGGTCTTTTGCATTTTACTGCCTCGAAGTATAATTAGCCAAGTTGGTGAAGAATGAACATCTTCCCTCGGTCCCGTGACACGGGCATGCGGGGGCCCGGGAGTGCACTTACACCACCACTGGGAGTCCTGGCCGGTGATTTTTCTTTTTCTCAGTGAACAAAATGCTCTGCACTTAGAACTCACCAAAGTTAAAAGCAGTAAAACAGCATATGCTACTTCGTCTAGAAAGTGGGAAGGAAAAGTTAGACAAATACAGTCCCTCTTGTTTGTACATCATTGAAACCTCTTGGGGTTTGGGGGGTGATCGTATTTTGCTTTAAAGCAGGGTGTTGGTAAAGGGACTCTGGCCACGAGAATCCAGGAGGCGCAGTGTCTTTTGGACACAGACTGACACGTGTAGTCCCTTGGTGATCCAGGGGTCCAGGGGACACTCATCCATGGGCTATGCGCACTCTCACTCGCTCTCGCTCTCTCAGGGGGAAGAACGAGCAGCTCCCTGGGAGGCACCGAGAGAGACAGCACCTCTTCCTTGCTGCACTCAACACTACATCCATCCTAAAGCAGTGCTCAATTACTAAATCTACGTGTACGCGTGCCCTTATCTAGATGTTTCTATAACGTTACATAACCCATGACAGAGCGGCCAAGTCTGAAGATGGCTCTCGACACCCTGGGCAAACTCCACATCTTTACCTGACCCTGCGGCCACGCGTAATTATTAACCAGAGCAATCTCATGGGGCACGTGCATTTCAGGAAACCAGTGTCTTTCTCAGTTTCAAAAATAAGTACGTATCGGAGGGACCTCTCAAAGCATTTAATACTTTTCAAAACTGGAAAGGCAAACTCCACGTGCCTTGAAGATCTGGACTGTGTTTTGACCAACGTGAAATGTATCCATCTGAGACGCCAAGAGACCCTCCCAAAGCAGGCAGGAAAGTGGCAGAAGGGCTGAGTGTGTCCCAGGGAAGAGGCTTACCAGCTGATTTTTCAGAGAATTTAAATGTTCATTCTTCAAATTAAGGAATATGAGTGAATAACCTGAAAGATTCCTATAAGCTCATTATTATTTCTGTGTTATTTGCCTTGGACAACGAGGAAGAGACGTGAGCCGGGAGGAGGAGGAGGCAAGGAGGAGAGCCAGACCAACGGAGCCGCGCCAGGAGCGCAGGTGGGGCGGGGAGATACCCGGAGAAGCTGCAGTGTAGACAACCAAACCCTTTATTGTCTAAGTTACATTAGACGCCAACACTGTAAAAATCCTGTTAAGAAACGAGGAAACAGCAGGTCGGTAGAGGTAGCAGAAAGAGTCCGTAACAGTCAGAAGATGACTTACAGGAGAGATCGTGCGGGAATTATCATTCGGAAAAAAGCGAATCAAAACATATTGGCTAAATAAATAAGAAAACACAAATCATATTAAATACAATGGTCAAACGAACATCAACGCATTAACAAACCCAACAATACTGATGGCCAGTGGGAGAAAGAAACCACAGTCAGGCCCGAGAACGGCATGTCTTGGAGGGTGGCGTCCTCGGAGGGTCCTCCTCCATCTGCTCAGTTACGTGCAAACCTACTTCTGCGCTCTGCACGGCACACGCTTCCGTAAGCAGGCTCGGGCTGCACACTCGGCCCATGGGACCCCCGGCGCGCCCCCCTCTTGCCACCAGGCAGCTCCGACTGCTGGCAGGGCTCCTGGGTGCCACTTCCGGAACAGGAAGAATGGACACGACACCTCCGTGTCACTTTGGGTACAGAACTGCTTTTAATCGCTAGAACACAGAGAAAGACAGGACCGGATCAGTAGCCCCTGTGCATTCCTGAACTGTCACTATTCACTTTCAGCCGAGAAAATGAAATGTGGAAGTTATTACTTTGGGGAAACTATCAAAATGATCAAACGTAAGTCAACAGAAAGGCATTCTGATTTCTAAGGTGAACAGAGGAATGTGTCTCTGCAACTTTGCTCAAAATACAGAACAGTCAATTACAGCTGCTCGATAGAATCTGCATGACATTCCTAATTACACCGACACAACAGATCATTCTGGTACATAACTGGTGTAAGAGTATCAGGTAAAAAATAAGTAAAGACGTTACATACACACACATACGTATACATACATGTGTGCACATCCATATGTATGGAGAAGCTGGTCAGTTACATCGCATTGTTTGCAAGTGTTGCCACGTAACCAGAACCTCAAGTAATTTAAATTCAGTAACAAGTAGAATCCAGAACCAAACATTAACTAATAACAACATTAACAATAATAATAATATAATAATAATTCAACAAATCATTAGAACAGGAAAACCACACTTTAGGGTTTGTGTGTGTGTGCGTGCACACGTGTTTAAACAAATCTTTGTATCAGAAGCCCATTTTCTACAAAAAACTGCACTAATCCATTACTGTATTAAGTAAACTGTCGCTCTCACCAGTATTAAAGGTTAGGATAATTTCTGTACATGTAAAATTATTGCTTTTTTGAAAAATATATTTAGCATGCTCGTTTTAATCCATTTCCTGCCTTTACAAAATTTCACAATTAAAAAAAACCTAGTAAAGCTTTTGCAAAAAATTTCACAGAACATTTTCATTCAAGGCAGCAGTAACTTTTGATAATGCATAAAATCATATGTGCAAAAATCTGAAACTCTCAGAAATATTACCATCACACATAGTGCCACGGTAATAGGAAAAGAAAATATTTATATCTGTGGAATACAATTTTAACTGCGTACACTGCACGGTTTAAGATCCTTTGTTATGGGCCTTAACCCCCACCACAAAAACTTGCATTTGCGGGACTGAGGAAGAGGTATATAAAGCCGCCCCCACCCAGGGGCCTGGGGACCTCCACGCTCTGGGAATGAAGGTACTCATCCTGCGGAGGTCCCCAGGCCCCAGAAGAAAAGACACCTACTTGCTGGGCTGGTGGAGGGACAGATGGAAGTGGGGGAGGGGCGAGCAGAGGGTTCCAGAGCACCAGGGCCCCCAAACCTGCTCAGGGATTCTCCCACCATCACTAAAATGGGTCTAGACCAGGAGGGTTCAGTGGCTAGAGAATTTACGGGCAGTCTTCCTTGGTGAGCAGTTTGCAGAATGTAGCCCTGTTACAAAAAGGTCCTGAGAATAAACAAAGAAGCCTGCTTGTCTTAGTGTTCAACTAGCTCTTTTCCGAAACAGAACATAAGCACTCCCATAGACATGTTTCCTCTGTGGGCTCGCTGAGCACAGATGATGGGAAGGACGGAAAGAGCAAACGGGAAACGCCCACGGCCCCCGAAGGCCACCCCAGACAGTTAGGACCTGGCCACGGCCCCGCGCCAGTGAGCCTGCTTTCCACAGTGCCCGACGCTACCTCCTTCCGCTCTCGTATGGACTATCTTAAATACCCCCTACGACACAGACAGGCTGTGGTATTAATACTCTGCCAACCTCAGCTCCACCACCACGTGTCCTGACATTACCCGACAGTCCTCCTGAGCATCGGTGGCTCCTGCACGGCGCTCGGCTCTTCAGGCTCTCGGACACGCACAAGAATCTCTCTCCAGTGTCTCAAACATGTCTCGAACAACACAGATGCTTGTGCTCTCCTGTGCCTGCCAACACCACTGTTTATTGTAAGAAAATAGGGGACTATGATGGATGAGCACATAGATGCATAGAGAATATCTACATGGGATTCTAGAGTAGACCATCTTCATTTATTCTGAAACGTTTCACAAGGAGAAGCATCTCCCTTCAGTCTCCACTCCAGCACAGGGCTCCAGGATCAAAGGTGTCTGGTCGGGAGTCCTGCAGCTGTTCTTCCACGGGGTGGTTGGGGTCACTGCTGGGACGTCCACGAGGGGGCTGTGAACGGCTGTCATGGGGCACCGGGGTTCGCTGGAAACGAGTCTCTAGGTTCCCTTTCTTAGAGGCACTGTCAGGACGGTATCTGGGTTAGAATGGTCTCTCCCCTGGATGAGAAAAAGCAGACAACAGAAAAGCTCATTTCTGCCTTTTGGTGTCTAAGTGCATTTTTCCTATTAATTTCCTTATCAACACTCAAGAACACAAACAATGACCTTTAGGCAGCAACCCCGTCAGGCCGGTGAAGACCCCTGACTTCAGTGGTCACTCACTGTGCTCGAGCACGAGAGATTTTAAATGGGCCTTCCTCCCTTATGGAGGCAGCTTTAGACAATCATTTCTAGAGATTCAGAGAGGATCCTTAGACTTCTCTGTTTCACATGTAAGAATGGCAAATAATAGTGTCTGAACCGGCTCTGAAGGTCAAAAGGTGGCAAGATGGAATTGGGGGAGGATTCCCAAAAAAGCAGAATTTTGTAGTACAAAGCAGATTTACAGGTGAATGATAGTTTCAAAACAAGGCTGAATTTGGGGGTCATACAAACAGAGTAAGAAAAGGACAGCTCTCACATAGGTCTGTCAGAATCGAGAGTGCTTTTACCAATTTCCATAAATAATTACCATGTTGGAAAAACAGAAGGGGTATTCTAAAGTCAAGTGCACTGCAAGATAAAAATGGGAATAAATGTGAGCCTGTAGCTTTTAGAGAAGGCTCTCAAATGACATTTGAAGCATCACTATTTGAACAATGGAGTTTACGATCTGAGGACAAAAACAACAGGGCAAGATTAATCTTACTAAACTGCATTAACCTTCAGCTAAAGTGTTGATGAAGTGAGACCAATCACTTGAAATTAGCATGCATAGATAAAACACAGCACTCGCACAATTCTAACTGGTTTCCAGCTATGCCTCTAGGAACCCTAGAAATCAGGGGTGGGGGGGTCTGGTTGACATCACGAATTAAGTGCTTTTTAAGTTAATAGTTTCAGAAAGCTCCTATTTAAAACTAGCCCTACATTTCATGACATCCAGTAATCAACACTGAAGGAGGTCCAGTAAGATACTCGACAAAAATTCTGGGTGCGGGGGGGGGGGTCGTTGAGGGCGGGCACAGTGGTATAAACAGAAGTTTATCTGCCATGTAACAGTAACACCATGTCCTCAAGTAGATGGTGAATTTCCTGCAGTAAGCTGAGAGCGAGGTTTTACATTTTTTGCACCGAGACATCACACCACAGAGAGATTCATCAACAGGGTGCTTTAAGAACTGCTTCTAGATACATTCGAGGAAGGAAAATGGCCTTTGTGCTTGCCAAGAGAAAAATGAGAGTTATTGTTAGTTGTTATATGAATGGCCTTGGAAGTCTCTACAAAGTAACTGTACGTAGCAAACAAACTTGCAGGAGATTCTAAAGAGTGTGGATTCTGTACACACAACTCGGACTGCACCCCCAACAGTCACCTGGACCTCTCTTCCTTGGAACCAGGATACACAAACTTGCACGGGCAGATAAAAAAAAAACAGCAATAGAGAGGTTACAGGAGGATGGGCCTCCTCCATAAAGGACAGAAGTTTTAAATTGCAAAGCTCAGAAAGTTTTAAAAATGTTTCAGAAGGACTGCAAAATCTGGCAACCCTAATAACCAGGTTGTTAAGTTTAGTCCGTAAATCTAGACACAGAGATGCAAAAATATGCTTTAAAATTGAAGGGGTATGTTCAAATAGCATCTCGTTCTTTAAGGAAGTCATTCTGACTTACTGATTCATTGGGACCACATTTTATTACTCAATACAGATGTCCTACAGGCTTTTTAGGAAATGAAAGAAATTCATTTAAGAAATCAGGCAAAGGGGAAATGTGGTCACGGAAGAAAGGAGTTACAGAAATACTTAAGTGCACACACAGTATTTTGAGCACACTCAGGTTGCTTTCTCCCCCCTACAAGACAGAGTACTCAGAGAAACATGTTTCTGGAAAATTTGGTTTTTTGTTTTTTTGTTTTTTTTTTTTGCTGCTGTGTGAATTGTGGGCTTTTCAGTAATGCTGAAAGAAATAATTATATTCCTTAATGCATTTCAATGTTCTAGAGACGGATATTGACTTCTGGAACTTTGTAAGGTCTACTTTTTTCCCTTTTGTCTTTATAAGGTAAGGGGATGCATATGTACTCATGTGTTGGGGGATCGATGACAAAAACCCCTCCCAGGACACACAGGGACCTCTCAGCCTTCAGACAGAGAGGTACACGACTAGTGTCTGGCACACGTGTGTGGCGCTCACTGCTTAATGATGTTGCACGCAGCACCTTCCTGACCACGACCTCTACTCACTGAGCCGCGGGTGAGTGGCGGCTCACGTGACCACGTGTCACTTTTACACGAATCACTCATCCTGTTCACAACTTTTCATAGTATGTTTGACTTAAGAGAAAAATGGATAATGTGTTTTAAGATGTTTGTTTGGTTTTATGAATATGAAAGCTGTTTAGACACCTGAGCTGGATTTTGAAATCTGATCTGTGATGGTAAGAATCTAACAGTGATACAAAATCTGACTGTACATGTATTCAAGTATGCCCACTATGTGATTTCTCCATCATCTGCATTATAATATCCACAGCTAAACAGGAGATAGATTAGGGTCCCATTTATTTTCTCATTTCCCCTTATTTTGATTAATGGAAATATTTCTCTGGCTTAACTATTTTAAAATAACATTTAGAATAATAAGAAATAAACTATTAATCATAGTCTTTAAATTTCGGCAAGGAGTCTAAACACACTGGAAACACCAGATTTCCTATTTCAGCAAAAGTCAGTCTGGTCTTTTATTTTTTTTCTTTAAAATTTTTTATTGTTATGTTAATCAGCACACATTACATCATTAGTTTTTGATGTAGTGTTCCATGATTCATTGTTTGTGCGTAACACCCAGTGCTCCACACAGTACGTGCTCTCTTTAATACCCATCACCGGGCTAACCCATCCCCCCACCCCCTCCCCTCTAGAACCCTCAGTTTGTTTTTCAGAGTCCATCGTCTCTCATGGTTCGTCTCCCCCTCCGATTTCCCCCACTTCATTCTTCCCCTCCTGCTATCTTCTTTTTTTTTTCTTAACATATATTGCATTATTTGTTTCAGAGGTACAGATCTGGGATTCAACAGTCTTGCACAATTCACAGTGCGCACTATAGCACATACCCTACCCAATGTCAGGGGGTTGCAGGGAGAGAGGGTTCATTTTTCTTTGTTCTAAATATTATTTTAATTTCTAATGTTTAACCACATAACAGAAAAAACAATTTCTTCACAACACACACAAAAAAAGCCTCCTAGTTTTTCCCCCTAACATCCATAGGACAATGATACCCATACCTCAGCCTATTATTTTCAAAAAATATTCTTCCTAATGATAAATACTGGTGATTACTAGAAATTAAACATTTACTCAGTCATGCTAAATCTATGGCAAAGCATCTTGAAATGACAATATGCATGAAGCTCTCCTCTCATTTATAATTTTGCTTCAAATAATTAGCTACCCTCATGATTGGAATTCAATGCATATTACGAGAAGCACAAACAGTGGGGCCTTTATTCCTGAGGGTGGGGACAATGCGCCCACAGTGTGGTCATGCCTCACTTGTGAGGATGGCCCCCCCCGGCTCCAGCACCCAAGCCCTGCGAGAGTAAATGCCTGCCAAACACACGTGGTGGCCACGAGCCTCCTTCTAGAAACTCTACTACTGAATCCACATCCATAACTTGCAAGGGTTCAGCAATCCTGTCCACTCCACCTGTGGGAGGAATGCCCGTTGACCAGTGTACGTACGGAAAAGAGAGTGTTGCCAAAAAACACATCAAAAGAGAATCATTTCACTTCTCCTCAAAGTTTCTGTTCATTCGGACCCAACGGAATCAGACCCATTTTGGCTCGTGGACCCGGACGCCGTGCCTGATGGCCTGTTTCACTCGGAGACCCAGGACGTCGTGATCTGTCCGACTCAGCTAACAGAAAATCTGGATACTACTCCGGCAAAGCAGGGGTGGCTGCAATGTGGCTGCAGGTGCGGCACAGCGCCTGCCTGGCAGCTTGAGGCCTCCACACCCAGAGCAGCGACCCGGGGCCCAGTGTCTCAGTGACAATGCTTTTCTCAAACGACACATCCTCCCTCTAAGGAACAACTCGTCCATAAAACAAGAGCCTTTGCAAGCACGCTGCCAGGTTCTGACCAAGCCGGGAGAGGCCGAGGAAAGAGAACGGCCTCTAGGGCCGGTTCCCCAGCTCAGTCTGCAAGCATGGTCCCGCGCCCGGCCTGCGTGCAGCAGCGTCCACGTGTGTGCACACCCGAGTCCCCTGCGGTCACAACGGACAGCAGTCGTGCACGGAGTCCACAGACCCAGGAACCTGCGTGAAGCCACACGCCGGGGAGGGGGACAGTCAGATCAGAGCTTCTACTCAGGACCCCAAGATCTCAAAAGTTTATATCACTTAGTTCTCTGAAAGTAGAATTCGCTCAGTGCGACTGGATTTCCATGTTGGAAGCCATTAAACACACATCACCTCCTGTTCTTCTCCACTTCAAACCCACATATTCACTTTCCTGCTGGACACTCCTAGTTGGATCCCCAGGAAGCACCCCCAATGCGGTTCAGACGGGACCAGGAACCCGTGTTTGCCCTGCTTGTCCTGCCAAGTTCCGGGCTCAGGGCAGGCCTCCTCCTGAGAGCTGCTGCTTGCAGCCAGAACCGGGGTCAACTCAATCTCCTCCCCTCCTCACACCCCACCTCCTGTGTCCAAACACCTGCCCTCCACCAGCCCCGCCCTAACCTGGGCCCCCGCGTCTCTCGCAGATTACCCCAAGCACTGCTAAAGCGGTGCTCAGCCACCGGTCTGGACCCGCCCTAACCCATCTTAACATCATCAAGCCCAACACTCCTTCTAAAGACAGGACACTGATGACGCAGTCCCCAGCTCAGGGCTCTCCGTCCCCCAGCGCCGCTGAACTCTGCTCTGCTCGTCCTCCACGGGAACGTGCGCTTCCACCCCGGGTGGGCTCCTGCAGGGAGCACCACGCTGGCCCCCACACTGGCCCCCTGGTCTCCTAAATGCCCACGTCCAGGTCCCAGGACCCTCACCGTATGGCCACCTGGACCAACACCACTGTACTGTTCTGCTCTGTTTCCTTGTCTGAACCACCCCCTGGACCTAAAGAAACAGCAGAGCGGGAAAAATAAATACCCAGTACTCTGCTTGTCTCCCTAGAATTACAGAGCCTGGCACATGGTAGGTGCTCAATAAATACTGCTAATGACTGAGGCAACGATTATTCTAAAAACTGAATTTCCATTATGAATATCTGTAAAAGTCCATTAAGTATCACATCAAATAACTTCTCCATGAATATAAGATGTTATATGATTTAAAAAAAAACAAAGCCCATGATCCGCAGCTTCTAAAGTTCCCAAGAAAAGAATCTGACTTACATATTAATTAGTTAATGTTAGTAAAGCACACCAAAACATGAGGAAGAACATGCTGGTGAGCAGCATGACTCCCACTCCAGACAAATAACCACAGAATTGCTCCATGGATATGCGTTATACCCTAAATCTAACACAGCAACATTGAGAACTACAGGATAAAAAAAATACCAAGATTTAAGCCTGTACCTGTGACTGGTTTTCAGTTATCTTGGCAGACATACCTCCTTGGGAATTCTTAAATTCCAAAGTATGCTAAAGAAATGGGAGCTTCTTAGAGCACTGATTCATCACCAAAAGCTACTCTAGGGGCGCCTGGGTGGCTCAGTCAGTGAAGCATCTGCCTTCAGCTCAGGTCACGATCTCAGGGTCCGGGGATCGAGTCCCGCATCGGGCTCCCTGCTCAGTGGGGGGTCTGCTTCTCCCTCTCTCTCTGCCCCTCCTGCCCTGCTTATGTGGCTCGCTCACTCTTGCTCTTGCTCTCTCTCTCTCAAATAAATAAAATCTTAAAAAAAAAAAGCTATTTTAAATGTAACAAAGGACAGAAAGTACTACCAGGAGCCACGATCTCAAATGTGGAATTAAACAAACTAGCGGCCACAGTGGGAGGGGCAGATCAATCCAGTGCAACATCAGGGTCACAGGCCTGGGCGAGCACTGTCCCAAGGCTGGACAGAAAGAAAGCTGACCCACTGTGGGCCCTGCACCAAGAGGGAACAACCACTTAGAGCACGTAACATGCATCCCTGGAAACGTGAAGTCAACGGGTCAGTTGGTAATAAGTACAAAACTGCAGAACTTGAGTTCACGGAGACAAAAACAAAAATATAAATACATCTTTTCTCAGTCATAATCAAGGATGAGTATCAAGTCTTATGAATTCCCAGCATACCTACAAGTAGCACAGAAATAACTTAAAATGCAGTCTTAGTGATGTTGACCTACTTCTCCCTGTGACAGGAGCATTTTAAAGAGACTGAGTAGAATGAATGCACAGGAAATAGACCTGACGTGTGTTCCTGAAGAATCTCGTGGAGCTCTTTGTGGATCTGCCTGGCGTTTCCCACCCCACCAAACACTCTCGTCAAAAAGCCATGTCTTAGGTAGATTTAACAGGTCACCTACACGCCACAAACACTTTGCACTGACTCCAGTTGTAATCTCAACATGTATTCTCCGATTATGGTGCAACCTTGTTGTTACCACGTCCCGCAAACACATCGTAGGGGCTCTTTTTGCAAGGGGGTTTATTTCTGTGAAAAAGGAGAGGGCTACCTAATTCGAGCTGAGGTCACATGTGTTTGGAGATCTTTTAATTCCACATTCGGAGAGACGTTACTTATTTCAGAAACTGTCACGTCATTGTGAACTAACTTCTTTCTATTCTAAACTATTGGTTTCATTGAGAGAGAGAAATCACTTACTGAAAAACCGTAACACATGACAAGGCATTTAGTCCATGACATATGAAGAAAAGGCTTTTTAGCAACAAAGAGGAATTCTAAAATTGCAATAAAACACAAGCACAAAGCGCTGAGGAGGCCACGTCCGTGCTAAGGTCCACCCTTGCGTGGCAGTGGCCCTGTTTCACTGGTGGCTTCACTGTGAACTTTCTCTTCTAGAGAAACAGACCAGGAGGGCTCTTGAGCTTCCCATGGAGCCTCCATCACCCTCACCATCCTCAACAGCCCCGAGTCCCGTAGATGGTTACGATGGTCAGGACAGGACCCATGAGCTTGTGCGGACCCAGACATGGGGCCTGGATGCTTGCTCTGGAGGCAAAGAGACGCCTCTTCCTTTACAAAGGGGAGAGTGTGCAGCTATGGAATCCCGTCAGAATGCCAGAATGTCAACGGAAAATGCCGGTGGGAGGAGAGGGCGGAGTGCTGATCTGTGAGGGGACAGAAGGGGGGGGAGCTCTTAGCCCAGGACAACTTGCAAGGCCACTGAGGATGGCGTGTGCCTCGCAACTGAGGAGCTCACACCAAATCCCTCCATCAGTGTGTGCAAGAGCGCGGCCACATTGTGTGGACAGAGCAGTGAACATACAAAGGCCACACGTGCCGGGCCACACACGTGAGGCATGCGTGCACGGCGACTGTGCCGGCTGAGTGTGTCAGGCAGGGAACCAGATCAAGGAGCGGACACAGCCGTGGAGCGCCACACGCAGCCTGGCACTTCTCATGGAGGAATACCAACACGCCATGCTAAGAAAGAAGCTGGCAAAACTTGTTCTTGAACAAACTTGTGCAAAAACACCTTGGGTAGAAAAGCAGGACTCTCTAGTGTGGCGAGGCACCTCGAGTCTCCACCAGTCGCCTCACCCCCAGCAGGACCAAAAACGCTGCGTGCACCTGCCGTGTCCTCGTAACTCAGGGCCGCAACGGCCGTCGGGGTTTGTCGATCGCCCCCAGACTGTCCTGAAGGGCTGGGTCTACATCAAAGCAACGCAGTTATTGGCACTTCTGGCAAAAAGAAAAACCACTGGGTGCTTTTGTGCTGAGCATCACAGCACGCCTCTTCCCAGCGACCACGTTAAAACCCGACATCCAGTTAACCGGAAGACCTACTTGTTTGGGGGCGTCTGCGGAGGTGGCATGGGCTTCAGCACCTCGGAGGTCATTAGACTCCAACGCCACTGTGGGAACAAGGAGCATGCCAGCTTCATCACGGCGCACGAAGCGAGGCCGTTACAGATAAAGCACTTGCCCTAGCCTGGGGCCAGGAAAGACCAATTTGCTTCAACACTCCATGTAAGAGATGGGGATGGAGCTGCCTGGGCCACGGCTCTCTTTAATTCAGACCTCACTGCTGGAGAAAGTAGTCACTGACAACGTTAATTATCAGTGTCTGCGGAGGGGGACCCCCTCCTGCCTTACTTACCATTTGGCCTCTGTTGTCTGCATCACACTGGCTTGCTGCCCACATCCTCCACACTCCCACACAGAGCCCTCCGGTCCCCTCCTCCCGCGGGCTGTGGGGTCCCCACGCACGGCTCTCGGCCCCCACGGTCACGGGCAAGCTCGGCACACACAGGCCCAGGGCTCCTGCCACCAGCATTGACCAACCAGCACAGGGGCACACAGGGTACAGGGTACACAGCGCCAGTGAGGAGAGACCCCCGTGCCGCGTGTCACGGTGACGGCATGGTGACTTAGGTGCGTGCTGGTGGCAGCAGAACCCATTAGCATATTCATTGCTGAGGATTCGACTCTCTTAATGGGACATTTGCAAACAGGCTTATCTCAACTTAAACCACACGGTGCTCGGATGTGAAGGAAAGACCATTCTGGGGGCCAGGTGGGAGAGTCTGGTGCGTGAGGCCTCCCGGGCCGGGAGCTCGCGTGCCAGTGGCTGGGGACGCAGCCAAGGCCGAGGTGGCTGGGCTCCCAGGTGCCCCCCCGGGGTCCGCGGCTGGCCCAGGCCCAGTGGCGGGCGGGGTACCTGTGTGGGCCCGTGTATGGGCCCTGAGGCGGCTGGACTGGTGGAAACGCTTCCCACACTCCACGCAGACGAAGTCTCCTTGGCGGGCCTGCGTCCTGAGCGTCCCTGGGCGGTGGTGGCCGTGGGTGGTGTGCAGGTGGGGCGGCGGCAGGGGTGGGGGCGAGAGGAAAACATCATTAGTCTGTCTAACGGTGTGATGGGGCATGACCAGCAGCCTTCCCCCAGGCTCTGCCGACAGCCGTACGGTACACGCAGGATGGTGAGGGAACATAAATCAAACCCACACCGCGGCCCCGGGGGTGGGGGGGTGCAGGGCCTCGGGGCAACTGAACGCCCTCCCGCCATCCATTGCCCGGAGATCAGGGTGGTACTGCGGAGACGGCCAGGGGCAGGGACGGGGACGCTGCGGTCTGGCCACCTGTCCCCACCACGCCACTGACACCGCCCGCCTGGCCCCTTACCTGTGTGCCCGCACACTCTCCAGGGCACAGACGGGACACCTGGGAATCGGGCCGGGCATAGGCCCTGGCCCCATGTTCCCTTCTGTGAGAATGGGGGTGCAGACGGCCCTCACCTGTGTCTCTCTGAATAAAGGCCAATGCTCACGTCAGGGGAGCGGCTCCAGAGGGCCTCCCCCTGAGCCCCATTCTCACTGCTGGGCTCAGCGGTAACTCGACGGAAACACAACACAAAACATCAACCAGAAAAAGTTCTGCCCGGAGTAACACATTTTTTTAAATGATGCCCATGGAGCTGAGTGTGTCTGCCCCTAACATCTGATATTTGAATGTAAAAGGCAAATGGAAAGGATGACAAACGGTCTCCATCAAATCAGCTGAAACCAAATTCTTGTCCGAATTCAGAGTGCATCCACAGATCAAAAGGACACAAAATCACTTCTGCAGTGCAGACAACGTTATGGACATAATCCTCAAAAACATGTGTGCGCTGTAAGGCAGACCTTGTCCGATTTCTCACAGGGCAAGCCTTGAACATGGGTCTTAGGGAAACAACCCAGTCTCATCCTACGAGAACCTTCCCTGGCAATCACTTTGGTCGTGCAGAGTCTCCTGGGTGTAAGGGGATGGCTCGCGCATCTGGATTCTAACGATGCCTACACCGGATACCTGCTAAGGATCATGAGAAACAACATGGCGTTTGCGTCTTCACACACTACATCGTTTCAATACTTTTTTGTAAGGAACTCTATCAGCTGCCTATCTCCCATCCAAAGTGGCAGCAGAAAAACACAGCACTTCTGCTCAGCCGACCCTATTTCCTTGAATTAAGGATGCATCAGCATCAGCGTGTGTGCACATGCGCGCGCACACACACACTGTCTCCCATGTGTTTTGCCACATCATTTTCTCTTTACTTTTTAAGAAAAGACCCTTGCCCTTCATGGTCAATAATACTGTGCCCAAGCTCCTCCGAAATTCTGAGCTAATCAAAAATGTTATGAACTTCATTTGAATTGAAGACTGCCTGGTGAGCAAAGAGCTCTAACACTCTGACCTAGCAACTAGAGTTGTGTGGGAAAGGAGGCAGGAGGGAGCCTTCCAGAGGCAGGCGCAAACTCTGCTCCTGAGCCCTGCAAGGTTAATTTAACCCCATTATGCTGCAACATACATATGCCCTCTGCAAGGGGGAAAGGAGCCTGGACTCCATCTGCAGGACTCTATGCAGAGCCCAACAAAGGAAGCACACACCTCTCATCATCATCACAATCAATGTGTCCTTGGTAGAAGTGACTTTGTCAAGTCCCAACAACAGAGACCTTATGTCTTACTCTATCTAGAATAATCTCGTCCTATCATCTTCAAGTTTTTATTCTAAAATCCATATTCTCACCTAACATAGGCTGAGCACGAAGTCTGAAAATAGAGGTAATGTGTTATTTTATTACTATTCCATCAACAGAACAGTCCTACTCTATGGATAGAAGTTTCCAAACTCGCCAGCCACGTAGAGAAACCCGTGTGTTTCAGGCTTCAAGGGCTGTAGTCTGAGTCCCTCCAGCAAGAGACAGTGGTCACACCCCAGAACATCCTTTCTCTGTTGGCAGGCTTCCACACAAACATCATTCCGTCAAAACACACGTGGGGAAAAGACCTCTGAGAATTCTCCGCCCTAACGTCGGGAAAGACCCGATGCCTCAGAAGCACCTCCAGAAACCAGGGCTTCTGCGTGAACAGAACACAGGCCCTGAAATCAGAGTCACATGGCCCCCCCCCCAAATGTTTCACATGTAAACAGATGGCCACTCTTCTTGGAGAATTCTCTTGTGCAGACTTCTGCCTCCCCCACCGCAAGCTGATGCTGGGCGGTACGTTCCCCTGAGGCCCGTGTGGAGGAGTTGAGACCTTTACTCCGCAGGGGACACCCCCCGGAGAGGAGGCCCACAGCCAATGCATCAGACCACAGAATGAGAGCCGAACAGCACGGACAGACTCATAGAGTAAGACAGGCCAAAAACATGACCCGGAATAGAGATGAACCTAACTTTCTAGATTCGTGACTCAAACATCAACTGTAAAATACAAAGAAGCTATGGATGCACGGCAACCAGTGGAAGACAAAAACCTTAGGAATCTGAGTCACTGGCACATTCAGAAACGCGTCAGTGACACAATTTGGGGAGCTGCTCATACTTCCCAGGCTGCAAAAATGGAAGCAGAGCCTCTACAACAGGAAACATTAATACTCCACTCACCTCTCAGACACTCAGGCCCCAAACCTGCTCGATTTCCTTCCACTACAACACTTGAAGAGCCATTAAGTAAACATTCCAAGGAGAAAGGAACCAGCAAGGGCCTGGTGGCTACAGATGGGACACGTGAGCAGGGCGCAGACCAGCCAAGGCGTTCGGAGAGTCAACAGACCTTCCTGAGAGAGAGAGAGCCTAGGCCTGGCTCCAATGTCAAGACCGGAGCCCAAGGGGAGCCGCAGAGGGAAGGGCCATGCAGGGGAGCATCCCATCCAACCATGCGGCCACCACACAGACACCAGCCAAGGGACCTAGACAAAACGATCCCTTCTTCCCTAAACCTGGGAAACCATGGTTTCTAGAAATGCACTTAATAGTATATAACAGCTGAAAAGTTTAGAACACTCCCCTTAAGAAACCCAAGTATGCATGAACTTAAACACCCTAAACACCCTTAAATACACCAGCTGTATTTCAGTGTCTACACGGGCAGAGCCAATAACCCAAGAGGAGGACACATGCGTTACGGACAATTTAGCATTTCTCACATTTAAAAGAAAAATACATAATCTCTCTTAAAAACACACACACTAAACCCTGAAACCATTTAAAATTTTTAAGGAAAAGGAGAACATTTCAGGCTACTGTGTACTTCCAATCTGTCATCTGAAATTCTCAAAACCTTACCTTGAAACTCACTTCTACTTTTTTGGGGGGAAAATCAAAAACAGCACTGACCCATGGCAGCACGAAGGGAAAGCCGCTCACAGTGGGAACCGGCCGCTGCGGTTCTGCGTGACATGCCACAGGCCTGGGCGCTAAGCAGAAGCCGCTGACACAATGAGGCGAGCCCCTAGCTCAGGGCGCCCAAGGCCGTGGTCACCGGAAGGATCGGACAGAGAGGGTCACGGCTGCCGGGAACACGGGCACCCACTGAAACTCACCCATCGGGGGCCTACAACTTCTCGGCTTTCGGATTCAAGAAAACCCAAACCTAAAGAGATGGATCTGCCATCAGATCTAAAGGTCAGCCGATATATCATTATTCCGTTTCACAGCAAATAATCTGCGTGATTGGAGAACACTACTGAGACCATGCAAAGCTCACTTAATGTAACTGAAATCTGAAAATGAGAAAACGCGAAGCCACGCACCAGCTGCGTTCTGCCACCTGAGAGGGGCACGTGCCCAGCTCCACCCTGGCACGGAGCACCTGTGCCCAAAGGGATGAGAGTCACTGTGCCGTACAAACACCTCGGCACACGGTGTGTCTCAACGACCTCCGGGCAGCCATGCCTTTAGCTTCCTTCTAGAAAGTTCACAAGAAGCCCTGGCTCTGAGCAAGGAGAAAAGGACATCAGCCTCGAATAAGGACCCCACTGGCAAAATCTCCAAGACCGTGGCACCCCCGAGTGTTTTCCTAGTCGAAAAATACCTTAGTGTTTCCTCACGAGCCAAAGGCGCCACTCACCGTGCCAGGATGGCTCCAGTGTGCCCGTGCACCCAGGCAGGTGCCGAAGTCCCCGGAGGCAACCGGGCACTCAGGGAGAGACCCACCTTCTCGGCTAGGCACCCACGGCCACTGCACATCTCACACCGTGGATGTGGGGTACCTCACTGTTCACCCACTTCCACCAAACCTTGAACTACGCTCCCCCAAGTGCTTCCACTTGCTGGAATTTGAGGGGCCGGGTCTCAAAGGTCATTTTTGATGGTAACCTACTTTAATGACAGGGGCATGATGAACAATTCAGTTCAAAGAAGGGTAATGAACAGAGAGACACAGCTCCATCAGGGTTTTCATATGCCTGATTTTGTTTTTTTAACAGCAAATCCTTAGATCTCCTAGTGTTCTCTTAAGGGAGAGCTACCCACAGTTCACGCTCACGGACGAAAGCATCCTACCCAGCGTGTACCATCCCTGGCGGTTCCTCATCATGCTCACGACGAGGCGTCAATACCCAGACACTGGCAGGAAAGGAAAATGGCCACTAAAGGCGTATCTTTTCTGGAACTTGGCACAAGCCAGTCCCCCAAACTTTGTATGGTACATTCATACTCCGCACGGTTTGCTTACTAATGCCAGTGAACTACGTATTTTTAAATTACATACGTACAAAAATAAGGTAGTCGCTTCAGATGACCATCTCTGCCTTTTGAGAGAAAAGGGACAATATCTACTGATTCTATGTTTAAAATGACAAAGGAAGGGGCACCCGGCTGGCTCAGTCAGTAGAGCCTGATCTTGGGGTCATGAGTTCGAGTCCCATGCTGGGCAAAGAGCTTACTTAAAAAATAAAAAACAAAAACAAAAAGACAAAGGACATGAGGGCATCAAGGCTGCCTGCTCCTGTCAAATTTCAGCTATGTCTGAATCAACATCACCAGGAGGGAAGTCCCACGGGGCCGGCAGCTCCATGCCCCCAGCACCAGGCACCTGCACCCTAGAGGGCAGAGCTGTGGGGGCCGGAGAAGGGTGCATCTGCCCCACCCTCTCTGTTCTGTGTTCAGACACACAGCCAGAGGGCAGGCAGCTGCCTGACCCCCAGAGGACAGGCTCCTCCGTGCGGCCCACCAAGGACGGTCACTCCCGCGCTCACCTGGGCAGGCAGAGAGGGGCCCCCCGTCTTACCTCTGTGCTCTAGTGCAGGACCGTTGGCACCCCAGCTCTGGTAGAGAGAAGCAAAGTCCTTTGGAATGTACGTCTTGAAGATATTGAGGATGTCCAGGCGCTTCTCGTGGCCGTCAGACGTGGGCTTGCTGGCGTGCAGGGCGGGCTGGGCCTGCAAGGCTGCGTGCCCCCTGGGGCCCGCTCCACAGCTAGCCAGCGGCCGCAGCTCCTGGCCGGCCTTGGAGGGGGGCTCGCGGGGAGGTAGAGGGGGGCCCCCATCACCTTTCACCTGTGGCTGACCCTGAGGCTGGGGGCTGAATTTGGCTTTTAGGGGGTCCGGGGCACTGTGCTTATTTGGGGGGCCAAGGCTGGCCCCCGCCGGAGGGGTGATGTACTTGTCCCCTGGCCTGCTACTGGTAGGGTGCTGGGTGCCTGCCCGGGCAATGACGGAGGGCGTGGGGGTGGCACTTCGGCTGAAGCCACCGCCGCCCACCGCGGGCCCCGGTCTGGGGCTGGCCTCCTGCCTGGGCTTCGGCAGGGGCAGCTGTGTGGGGGCACCGTGCGGGTCAGGGCCATGGCCAGGTTTGGTCTGCCGGGGCCCATCAGGGCCGGCCACCCAAAGCGCACAAGGGCCCCCGGAATGGCTCTCCTTGCTCTTCGGCACGCTAGCGGCTTTCGGGGTCACGCCCAGGGGCGAAGGACTGCCTTTGGGCCCCGGCGCCCCTCCTGGCACCTGAGTGCGCGTGAACCGAGCGATGGGCAGAGGCTGGCACTCTTTGCCCCCGAGGGCAGGCGGGGGGCCCGTGCGTCCGCTCCGGGCAAGGAAAACCAAGTTGTTTCTGATGCTTTTGTAACCATTGGGCTGAATCCACTGGGGGGCCATGGAGTTGCAGCTGACCCTGTGCCAGATACGCTTGTGCATCCACAGGACCTCAGGGTAGTACGTCTTGTGGTTGCAGTAAGGACACGGGTGAACGGCCAGCGCAGCCTGTAGGGACGAGGCCAGTTCCTTGTGGCTGGGGTCGTCCCGGCTCGACCTGTCGCTGAGGTCTAGTGGGACCAGGTCTGGGGCCGGCACCCTCCTTCCCCCCGCAGCGTGCTCCCTCGTGTGCAAATCAGACAGCTTCTCCTTCAGGGGGTGAGCCGGGCTCGCGGACAAGAGCTGCAGGTCTGCTCCCTCCGGAAAAGTCTGATCCGAATGTGAAGGGAAGTCTGCGGTGTCCCTGGAGATGGAGACCTCCTGCTTCGGGTGAAACGCGGGTGTCTTGACGTCCACGGAAAACCTGGGCGGCTCTGCTCTCTTGTTAGCATCTCGGCTCCTGTTTTCGAGCATGGACACGGAAGCTGCGCTCCCCGCTCTGGGATCCCCGGGGCCTGTGGCTGACACGTCACTCCCAGGCGCGTGACTCTGGTCTCCATTGGAGAGCACAGTCGATACCACCTCTTCAGAAAAGCAGAAGCGGAGTGGCTTTCCCCCTGGAGGATCAGAATGTAAAACGTGACGTTACCATTTCTCATCAGGATAGAACGAGACACAGTAGCACACCCAAGGGCACTGCGGCCCCCACACACAGGGTGCGCGGGTCCTCGGGAAACAACGGGGCTGCTCCCCACAACACTCTCAACAGTGGGCCAGATTTAAGGGCAAAAGGACAGTATCTGGGGTGAGGTTGGTTTCTTCAGTTGATTAACTCAGTAGATTGTCTGGAGAAATAAACTCTAGTAGCCTATAACTACGCAGTTACTCGTTAACAGAGGGTAACTAGTTGTACCAAACACCAAGAAACACCTGCTCTATACTTGCACAAGGCTTCCCACGACTTTCAGAGAACTCTCTAAATGCACTCACAGTTAGGGATCCTGGAGACACAGGGCAAGAAGACCCAGAGATGCGGAGATGCAGCCCGTGATCACACAGAGGCTGGGCCTGAAAATGGCTTACTTTGCACAGGGGATCCTGTGGCTGCCCCAGAAATGTCTGGGCTATAGGTCGACTTCACACGGATGCAGAACGGTCCCTAATGACTTTCTCTCTTAAGGTCCACTGTTCCAGTCCAAAAGGTTTGACAACTGAAGTTTCCCTTCAGAGGCATGAGAAGGAAGGGTAAGTGAGGCTACTCATCCCCACCTTTTCCCGGAGGGATGCCCAGGACAGGGACCCTGAACTCTCTGCCCCTGGAGTTCCCGCCACAGTGCTCCCACAAGAGAGGCAGCCTGGGTGTGCCCAGATGCCCTGGCACAGGGAGGCCTGCCTCTTCCCAAACCAGGCTGCATGGAGGGCATCAGCAGCAGGTGGGAGCAGGGCTCCATGCCCTTCAGACCGACACGCTAAAGCCTCTGCAGAGCCAGACCAGACTATACCCCAAGGGGATTCAACACAACTTGAGAGAAACTCCATTTTACATTTATTTGCACTGACAACTTTGGGCATAGTGAGCTCAACATTTGGAAGGTGTACAAATGTTCCTGGATATCTCAAAACCTTCCAAACCACAGAACACAAGTTCCTATCGTGGACACGGCACTGAATGCCACCTGTCACCGTTGCAATGGGTTAAAATGTCAAGGTGCCCACTCATGGCAAGGCCCAATATCGCTGGTCTTCATTTAAGAATATTCAGAGGGCGCCTGGGTGGCTCAGTTGGTTAGGCGACTGCCTTCGGCTCAGGTCATGATCCTGGAGTCCCGGGATCGAGTCCCACATCGGGCTCCCTGCTCAGCAGGGAGTCGGCTTCTCCCTCTGATCCTCTTCCCTCTCGTGCTATCTCTCATTCTCTCTCTCTCAAATAAACAAATAAAATCTTTAAAAAAAAAAAAAAAAGAATATTTAGAGACTTAAACATTTGCAGCAAAATGTAGGTATCTATTTACAAAAAATGTTCTTTAAAAATCTTCTAAGTATATTTTTTGGAGTTAAGGCTCAGGAATCCCAACAAATTGGTATTTTTTTTAAACGTATTCCAAAGGGATCTTCATGGAAGCAGGAAGGCATCCTTCAGAGAATGCGTTTTGACAGAGATCAGAAGGAGCAGAGTAACCAATGTGCAGTTTCAATTAGTAGGTAGTTAACGAGCCACTCCTATGCAATTTTAAAGGATTATGTCCCACATAAAACAGGTGACCAGTACGTAGTGATGAGCAGGATGGGTGAGGAGATAAGAAGACACAGGAGGAATAAATGTTCAGATTCCTGTCAGCACCAAAATGCTAACACGTGATCCACTTTGGGTATGTCTGCCTGTCCTGAATACCATGTCCCGTTCCCCAGAAGGCACACTGAGCAGCCCTGGGAATCTCTGCTGATTAAAGGGCACTTAACCTGGGACTAAACGTGCAGAAAACTCGTGGCCTTTGTTCAATTCCCACTGATGCTCAGAATGTCAAAATCACTTTTAAATGTTCAAAGAGAGAAACTCCAGGGGTTGGGGGCCCTAGTTTTTCCTGTATTAAAGGAATACAAATTTATGAAAACACATGCCAGAGACTATGAGTCGAATTCCAAAGTTGAAAGAGAGGACAGTGTAACCTGACACTGCATATCTGTGGGGGTTTCAAAGCACATCTGTCCAAGTCCCCACATTTTATGCCCCCAGAAAGGATTATAAAGCATCACAGCAGAATTTCCAATACCTCTGACCAAGACACTAAATCACGAGACGCCTGCGACCTGCACTCGGTCACTGGAGCCATCGATGGGGGTGCGGGCAAAGCTGGTGTCACAGGAAACCGGTCGTGAGAAAAATGAGGGCCTCCTTTCCAATGGCCGTCTAACTCCCGGAGGGACACGGACAGTGGCCGCCTAACTCCCGGAGGACAGTTCGGAACGAGGGACACGGACAGTGGCCGCCTAACTCCCGGAGGACAGTTCGGAACGAGGGACACGGACAGTGGCCGTCTAACTCCCCAAGTACAGTTCAGAACGAGGGACACAAACAATCTGACATTGAAGGAGGGGACAGGGGAGCAGCTGAAGAACCAGGCGCTTCTTCAGATCAGGAGCCCATAGCTCTCAGCCCCGGGCACCCCCTTTCCTTCGTGAGGTTCCCCGCTATGGGTCTGGTGAACCCCAGGTCACCGCAGAGAAGGACCCAGCCAGCCCGTGGCCCCGGCACTGCCAGCCCGCCCCACGAAGCCAGTGGGGTCACTCAAGGCTGCCAAGCTTCGGGGCATCCAGGCCAAAGCAGGTGCAGAGGCGCAACCTTGGGGTCCCATGCTCCCGGGTTCCAGAGTACCATTTCCGACTTTGTTGACAAGGGCAAGTCACCTACATGGTGGACTTCCCACGGGCCACACCCACCGGGCTCGAGGGGCACCCACACTTCCCCAGCCACCTGCTCCATGAGCCACGCCCTCAGGGGCAGCCTGCAGCAAGCACTTTATGAGGCTTCACCAAAGGGCCATGCGCTCTGAGTTTGGGGCCTGATGTACTCCCCATGGACAGCTGCGTGTAACCTTGACCACGAGGCTAAGAGGAGTGTCTGCAGAGGACAGGCTCTGAGAGCCGCTGTAGCCATGACATCCGGCCACAGCGGCCTGACCTGAAGCACGCGACTTGTGCAGAGCAGCTGGATCTGCACGGCCCCGGGAGGCATGCCTCAGTCAGCACCTGACACCTGCACTTCGAGTACCCTGCGACAGGGTAATCGCGGCCGCACACACACACACGTGTGCACGCAGGGGCGCACATGTCAACACGTATGCATACACATGGAAACATGCACAGGGGCACGCACATGTGAATGCGTGCATGTGTGCATGTGAAAACATGCCCACATGTGTACGCACAGATGCAAGCATGTGAACACGTGTGTGCATGCATGTGAAACCATTCACTAGTACCCGTTACCGCCTCTTTTCTTTTCCCCTCTCAATTAAGAACCCACAACTGAACAGCAGGCCTCTGGGTTGTTACCCTGCGGAGACAAGCGGGCCCCGGAAACGGCCCTGTGGAGCCATGGACCCGGGTCCTGTCCTGGCCCTGATGCAGGGGACGCTCGACAGGGCCGCGGGCCGCAGTGCATTCCCACTCCCGCTCACGGGCTCTCCAACTCACGCTCTGGCGCTCTGTTTCTCGTGTTCTCTACGCCAGGTGCTTGGCTGAACTGCTGCTGGGCCCAGGTGCTTCAAGGAAGGATGTGTTCCACTCTCCCCCCACCCCGTACTCGCTGCATCACAGCCGTTACTGATCCCTGTAAACAACGACTATAATGTGTGTAATCCCACACATGGCCGCCCTGCCTCTCCAGGTCCCAGGGAGCGCCTGCAGGTCCTGCCCGGTGCTCGGGCCCTGCAGGCTCTGGGGACCCAGAGCAGGGCTGCCAGGGGACCCAGAGCCCCACATGCGTGCCGGAGCTGTGGACCCATGAGCAGCCAAGTCCAGCACGTCCCATGCTGGGCTCCCTGAGCAAGTGCACAGCACGGGTAACCGCAAACACTGCATTCAGTGCCAGCCTCCTCATACTTCAGGCTGATGGGGAAAATGAGGGGAGCTGTCTTAAAGGTTAAGAAAGGGTCAAACTTCCAAGCTATTAAAATTTCACAAGGAAGGAAGTCTAAGATCCATCGCTGAGATTCTTTAGCAAAAAAAAAAAAAAAAAGTTGGCGATGCAGCCCTAATTCTAAGGAGTCTTGGAAACAGAACTTTCCTCCACCCAAACCCAAAATGGCTTTACCGGAACCACCAGCATGAGGTCCTTCAACAACTGTACTGTAGTTTCTTGCAAGGACTTTATCTAGTTTTTTCCAACTCGTTAGCACTATAATTTCCTTTTTAACAGAAAAATTCAAAGTTTAACTTCTTCATATTTTCCACTGTGACCATTGCCCACATGTCACAAACACCTTTACTACCTCTCCTGTCCTTCCAGCAGCTGGAGCTCAGCGGCAACGTTGCCCGGGCATCGGCACCCTTCTTTCTCCGGACGAAGGACAGGGCACCAAGGCCGGGAGGCGGCTGTGCCGCAGATTCTCACCGGGCTCCTGGCCCAGGCTGTCTGCTGGGGGGCCCTGCCTTCTTTGAGAACAGAGCCCGCCGCCCGCGCAGCCCGGCTCCTGGGAAGGGATGGCACCTGTGGTGGGGCTCCGCTCCTGGGCAGGGTGCCTACGGAGCCAGAAGAGACGCAGCAGGACCTCTGTCTGTGTGCAGCAGGCTCAGCAAGGCCACACCTGTCAAGAAACGTGTCCTCCAGGCCCTCCACCCCCGTGACAGAAGACGGACGCCGCGGCGCACCACACCTGCACAGCGATGCTTAAACACCCTCACCCTTCACCACTGCACATCCGTGGGACCTCACTGCACTCCTCAGCCACGGAGGTGGTTTGTGGAAACCTTAACACCATCAAAACATATTTTGCAACTGACCTGCTAAGATTAGATAAATGCTGGATGCCTTGGCGTTTTTGTTTATAAAACAGGATGCGTTTCAAAATATTTTATCTCAGGTTTAGCAAAAAAAAGCCACCCAGCACCATAACAG